ATGGGATACAAAATTGTTAAATTATTTAATGCTAGTAAAGTGCTTTCGCGATACATGTCAAAAATTTTAATGCCGAAAGAAATCAGGAATATCTTTAAATTAAATTAGAAGCATTGGGACTTGTTTCAATATTTGTCATGTATAATCATTTTTTTTGTGACTAAAATTCATTATTATATAAACAAAATTTATGGAGAAGTTTCTGGATGTCAAAAAATATTTAAATGGTCCAATAAACCACTGATTATTAAACTGTTGATGCTTAAGTGCAGTGTTTATATTAGTTGATTGTCTCAGTGTTTATACAACTAATTAGGCGATGAGATAACACCACAATTACTTAAGTTTTTTTAATGGCTACTGTTTAATAAATTGATGAAGAAAATAATTTAAAAAAATAACTTATTTTATATTAATGGCTACTGTTTAATAAATTGATGAAGAAAATAATTTTAAAAAATAATTTATTTTATACACATGTTTCGCATTTCATTGTTTGAGACTTACAAAAAATAATCATTATATGGCAATATATTTAATATATTGATATTTTTTATTATTTGAGTAATATTAGTTACTTTACTGGTATTCATTTCAATATTTAAAATGATACTTTTAAATGTCTTTGTTGTTCTTTCTATGTTATTCTATTTTTTTAAATTTAGATCTACTATATATAAATAGAATTTTCTCATGTTGTTACACTTATAATAGAAGTGATATTTCAGAAATTTGTCTTTCATTTACACCTCTTATCACTCAACCCATAACTAAATGAGTAATCTTCTAATAATTTGTATAAACAATACCATTGAAATCAACAAAATGAAACATTAAATTGAATTTCCTTTTTACACTGTTTGATATTAATGAAATTAAAATTTGTTAAATTTCCTAGTAAACATCTCTAAAAATTGGGAGTGAAACGTCCATACAATTGACAAAATGGGAGTGAAACGTCTAGGTGTGAACTGTCTTGGGAGTGAAATGTCTCAATAGTGAAACGTCTTGGGAGTGAAACGTCTGACATTCCTCAATTTTCAACATTTAAAAGTGCTGGAATCACGGAGGACCAGATTAATAGGCTCTATCATTGGATTAGATAGAGGATAGGGAAATCCCAACCCGATGGTGATCGGTTCCATCGGGAACGAGCCTTGGCGAGTTCCCGATGGAACTGATTGCCCGAGAAGAATAATAATATCCACAGAGTCCAATCGTTCACTATGTTTCCCAGGCGGAGAACGCATGAAGAGATCAATTTTACAGGTGGAAAACCGATACTGTGGTAAGAAAATTGTCTTCAATTTCTTTGAAAATGCATATTTCACAAAACTTTATAGCTTATTCTGATCTCGTATGATTACTTTATCCGACAGATATCTCAAACTCGCCAAATCTTTGTTAACTTATTAGATCATTATCGACAACTGCACAAGAAAAGTCGCAAAATTGGTAAAATCGCTCTTTGATAGCCAATAACTTGACATCCAAGCAAACTTCTAAACATTTGTATCGCTCTAAAGGTTCTTTATTAACATATCCTCATCCACCAAAAGCCTGTTCTATTTCTATTCCGTATTTTTGGAGTATAATATCGTTTAAGGGAATTTTCAAAATGAACGCATGAGCCGAACTTTTCATTTTCACACTTTCTATCAATGACAATAGATTTTATTCATTAAACATTGTACAAATGTTTATAGCAAGAAATGATGAACAAATCAAATACACATCCCATATCAGTCGGTCCTATTTGAAACTGCTTTTTAGTGGGTTAATATACGTACCTGTAGAACATCATCTGTAAGTATATGTTAGTGATAAGAAATATAATATTTGAGATATTATTTTAGGCTTTTCTTTGTTTTTGTTTCAATTGCTTTTAATGGATATTCGAGTTTTTTTTCACACGTCAGCAGGTGTTCTGTGCTTTATGGTAGTTGTTTAAATGTGTCCCATATTTTCTAGTCCTTCGGAACCATTGATTCCAATACTTTTAATGACGGGTGCTAGATGCTGTGAGAGATAATGCATATTTCATTATCTATCAAGACCCAATAAATCTTCGTCTGCGCTTTTCTTCTTATTGCTCTTGAAGGACCCCCTTTGAATAGTTCTATATCGACACAGATACACAACATCCTTATCAATAACACGTTCGCTAAGTAACTAACACGGTCTGTTAAATTTAGTTCTCAACAATTATTCACGAAAAACGTTATAAACATAAGAAATTTTGTCTAATGGAAAATCAAACAGTTTTAATTTCATGTTTCCTTTTTTATATACAGGATGCCGCTGTTAAGTTTGACTTAGAAATGTATAATTGTATAATTATTTTTTATCCGTGCAAAATGAGAGTTAAATCTGAACAACAAAACTGGTAAACATCTAAATATTCACCTAATATATTGAAATAACTTGTGAGAAGTTGTTCCTCAGTTAAATATTAACACAAATGATATAATGTCAAGATCAAGTAATGATCAAAGTGTTAGGATATTTAATTGCACAATAACATATAAGTTGCATATGTCTTTTAACCCTCTTCGAATAAGTATCCTCCGTGTCGTTGAAGGGTATGCTGTTGGAGTTATTACCTTTGACGATAAATTAAAGAGAAAATGATATAGAAAAAGCACTTAAATAATCATAATGTAGACTTTTTAAAGATAATTGTATATAAATAACTAAATTTGACATTGTCACGTACTTTGTAAAAAATAGTTGTATGTGTAGAAAGGTAGGTCGTGTAGAATAACAAGAGGAGTTGCATATTGTAAAATAAAAAGATAAGGATTTGCAAAACAACATTTCACATTATAAATTTGCTAAAATAGAGAGTAATAAAGAATCCCTAAAGAACGCACGAAACGACAAATTTGAAAATATTGCAGGCTCGGTTTGATTGAGCCTGTTCATGAACGGTAATGAAAAGTGCAAGTTACCGTTCATGCCCCTTGGCACCGGCTTTAGCAAAATGCGTGTGCCCTAAACAAGAAAACAATTGGCGGAACTAAACAAAATGGAATCATTTTGAAAGGGGATCTCAGGTTATGAAGCCTGCATATCACAGATAATACGTAAAAAGACAATTTTAAAAAACAGACCACATGTCATAGGGGTGATTAAACAGTGTTCAATTAAGGTTATACCTCTTTTTAATTATTGCGATAGTTTATAACCCCGTTCTTCTTCTCAGTGTTGATTTGTTACATTCACATTTCACAGATTCACGGGTCATTTATACTAAAACTTGTACTGTTAATGAATATACATTATATATAAATAAAACACCTCACTGTTCAGTAAATAAAGACCACAGCGGATGCATGCACTAGTACTTTGGTGTAACTCCATAGTGAATCAACTGTAGAGCCATCTGTTCACCTCAGTCACATAAGAACAGCTCTCTCTCCCTGAAGCGGTATGTATGTCTCCATCAAAGGACCTTGATTAATTACAGCATAATGCGATTGGGGAATGGACAAGGAAGAGGAGTGTCAAATTATTCCTTATGTAGCTAGGTCGTCAGAGTTTCCATGTGTCTAGAGCAAAGACCTGGCCAGGAAACTAGGGAAGCTCCTGAAGCTCCGCAGCTTTTGCTTTTTAAATCACATATTTTGCTTTTAAAACCACATAAAACATGGTGGATTCTAAGGCTTCGTTTTGGGTGTGGGAGTGAGGATCGAGGTGGGGTTGGGGAGGGGTTGAGGTAACCCATGATTCCATATAAGCAAAGTTTTGTAACTGAGAGGATATATAGAGTGGGTGGACTAACGCTCGGCGTAAAAATACTATATTTGATATGATAAATTCAAATCAACGTCAACAAAGCTCAATGTTATATTCCATTTTCAAGACCGATGATATTGTTTTAAATAGCCATTGTGTAAAATTTGCTAATCACATTATGACGGCTAAAGATAGTCCAGATAAACAAGTGCGGTTTGCGTGAAATTGTACCATAGCTCGGCGTACAGTACTACATGATGCAGGTTTGTTTATCGAATAAAATCTTTTTTTTATCTTATGAAGAAAACATATTGAATAAATTGTAACAACTAAATTATGTTCATACATTTAGAAGTACCCAACTTTTTGTTTAAATTTTACAGCCCCAGAACTCTAGTGTTAAATAGAGGATATTTGTTTAGTTCAGTGTAAGATCGGAATATATTTCACCGAGTGAGCACCAAAAGGTATATTTCACGAGTGGCGCAGCCACGAGTGAAATAAGAACTTTTGGTGTTCACAAGGTGAAATATATTTCATTTTTACACTAAACTAAACAAATTTTCTTTTTATTATATGCAAAGAAACGTTTTAAAAAGAGATTTAACCTAAAACTGAATGAAAAGCGCCAAATAATATAACGTGACGTCATTTACGACGTCACTTCATTAAGTTGGTACCCAGTACTGTGCACGCTCGTATTTCACTGAAACAACGTAAGGGGCTTAAATTCAAAACAGTGAAATTATCAACGTGGTAATTTCACTGTTTCAAACAGTGAAATTACCAGTTTTAAATCACTGATATATTTCTATAAACCACCGAAAAGCATGTAATAAAAGATTTTAATTATTTATATGTTGCTGATTAGATGCGGTCGTTCGTCTGCTATAAGCATTGTCATGTGACTTCACCAGCAGTGAACCGTACCAGGATAAAATGGTGAAAGCACCAGTGACCTAAATCGGAGATAATTTAAATACACATTTTCAGATATTCTAAAGAAATATTTTTTACGCCGAGCATTGCATGGTATGCGCCGAGCATTGGTACAACCACTCTAGGTTTGCCTTCGGTGTACAGCATGGTAATTGGCCTGCGATACAAGTATGGAGTTTTTATTTCAATACCATTACTAAAAGTCATAAATAAAAGGTATTTATAGTGTCAAAAACAAAATTCGATTCAGACCTCGAGGGGGTTATAAGAGATTTCTGATCTCGCGACCCTACGCTGGATAAAGTAAAGTAAAGTAAACATACTATCTTTTCGCGCTTTCTTTTTGCCGACTTCAAAATGGCGGCGCCCATTGGAAAGGTGACAGAACTCTTAACCGACGTACATGATGGGTTAGAGTTTCCAAGTAGAGATTGCTTTATTTCAAAAGGGGAATATGTTTATTACCATTATGGCTGTGGAAATTTTGACGACAGAGTTTGTATACATTGAAATTATTTAGTATATTTATCTTTGTTTTCACAAGAGCGATAAATTAACGATTCGCTCCTCTGATGATTCGCCCCGTCTTGATTATTTTTTATTATTTTTATTAATTTAGAAAATGTTTATGCATTAAATATAAAGTAAATGTGCATATCTTTGAAATAGTTTCTAATAGACATTTTCTTTTTTATTGCAAACATTTTCTCCCCTCCCCCTTGAAAAGTGCCGTACGGCTGGCCAATACAGTGTGTCCTGGCTAGTCGTACGTGACTCACGTACGGCTAGAACTTTTGGCTAGCCGTACGGGCCCGTACGGCTAGCCACTTCCAAAAAAAATAAATAAATAAATACAGCAAATTTAAATAAATGAGAGTGATATTAATTTAACTGTCATTGAACATATATCAGTTGTTTAAGTGTATGTACAGTATAGTTTGTCTAAACATGTTATTGTTTGTTTTTTTTTAATTCTTGTTTTTCATTTTAGGGTTGGGGCTGTGGATATAGGACACTACAAAGTCTCTCATCTTGGGTAAAACATCAGCAGGAAAAGATGAACTCGAAACCCTCTCACAATGTTCCCAGCATTCCTGAGATACAGGAAGCTCTTGTTGCTATTGGTGACAAACCCTACACATTCAAAGGCTCAAAAGATTGGATTGGCTCATTTGAAGTTTGCCTGTGCATTGACTATTTTTATGATGTATGAATTTAAGAATAGTACTTATCATCCATTAAATATCAGTGAACAAGCACATAAACCATACTGCACGATAAGGAACTCCTCTGTATATACATCTACAACAATGAAGATTTATTTGAAATAACAGAGAATTGTTATTAATTATGAAATTAAAGATTACCTGTGACTGTTGTATAATCGCTGTATGTACTGATAAGCTAAGCAGATTTTGCTTTGAGAGAAAATATGAGAGGCATTGAAATAAACAGAAATAAATGTAATGATTGGTCTTCTGTGTCAAGAGGCATGTTAATGATGTTTTATATGTTTCTAGGTACCATGTAAAATTATACATGTGAATTCTGGTGCTGTTCTTCCAAATCATATAGAAGACTTGGTGAAACATTTTCAGGAATATGGTGCCCCGGTAATGATGGGTATGTACTGCAACCTTGGCTGATCTTATTTTAGTATTTCACAGGCTGTCAACCAATTCCTATATTCCTATAAAACTCCTATATTTTGGGTCAGAATCCTATATTTTAAAAAACCTCCTATTTTTCCTATATCCTCCTATATTTTGAATATTTTTCCTATATTTTTTAGCTCACCTGTCACAAAGTGACAGGGTGAGCTTTTGTGATCGCTTTTCATCCGGCGTCCGTCCGGCGTCCGTAAACGTTTACTTTAAATGACATCGACTCATAAACTGCTGAGCCAATTTCATCCAAACTTCACAGGAATGTTCCTTTGGTGGTCACCTTTAAAAATTGTTCAAAGAATTTAATTCCATGCATAATTCTGGTTGCCATGGCAACCGATAGAAAAAACTTAAAATATCTTCTTTTAAAAAACCCAAAGAGCTAAAGCTAAGATATTTGGCATGAAACATCTTCTAGTGAGTGTCTATCAAGTTTGTTCAAATAAAAGCCCTGGGGTCAAAATTGGCCCCGCCCCGGGGGTCATTGTTTTTCCCTTTATGCATATAGTAAAAACTTAAAAATCTTCTTTTAAAGAACCCAAAGAGCTAGAGCTAAGATATTTAGCATGAAACATCTTCTAATGGGTGTCTACCAAGTTTGTTCAAATAAAAGCCCTGGGGTCAAAATTGGCCCTGCCTCAAGGGGTCATTGATTTCCCTTTTATGCATAAAGTAAAAACTTATAAAATCTTCTTTTAAAGAACCCAAAGGGCTAGAGCTAAGATATTTAGCATGAAACATCTTCTAATGAGTGTCTATCAAGTTTGTACAAATAAAAGCACTGGGGTCAAAATTGGCCCCGCCCCAGGGGGTCATTGATTTTCCCTATATGCATATATTAAAAAACTTATAAAATCTTCTTTTAAAGAACCCAAAGAGCTAGAGCTAAGATATTTAGCATGAAACATGTTCTAATGGGTGTCTACCAAATTTGTTCAAATAAGAGCCCTGGGGTCAAAATTGGCCCTGTTTCGGGGGTCATTGATTTTATTTATGTGTATAGCAAAAAATTAAAAAATCTTCTTTTAAAAAACCCAAATAGCTAGAGTTAAGATATTAAGCATGACACATCTTCCAGTTAGTGTCTTCAAAGTTTGTTCAAATAAAAGCCCTAGGGTCAAAATTGGCCCTGCCCCAGAGGACATTGATTTTCCTTATATGTGTATAGCAAAAACTTAAAAATCTTCTTTGAAAAAAACCGAATAGCTAGAGTTTAGATATTAAGCATGAAACATCTCCTAGTGAGCGTTTTCAAAGTTTGTTTTAAAAAAAAGCCCTGGGGGCAAAACTGGCCCCGCCCTAGGGGTGTCATTGCTTTGAACTATATGTGTATAGTTAAAACTAAAAATTCATTTTTTAAAAAACTCAACGAGCTAGACCTTAGATGTTAAGCCTGAAACATCTTGTAATGGGTGTCTACCAAGTTTGTTCAAATAAAAGCCCTGGGGTTTAAACTGGCCCCTCTCTGGGGGCCTATATACAGGTGAGCGACTTCAGGGCCATCATGGCCCTCTTGTTTAAAAAATATATTGCCGAGGAATTCAAAGAGATTTAAATTTTGGTACTGCTTTTTGCCTTTTGTATTTTACATATAAGAGAATGTGTATGCCTGCATCAGCATCACATTACTATGCTCAAGGCTGCTGTGCTCCACATAGCCATCTGCATGGTCACCATGAAAAGCAGTGCATCAGTATGTCAACTTTATTTCAGGTGACCATTCAGATGATGGTCATGCATTGCTGTAACTTTCTGCTGATGCTGTGGTTCAAAGCTAATAAAGGCTGTCCAGCATCCCTAAAATTCCTAAAAAAGTGAAAAATTCAGAGGAATTCCTAAAAATGCCCTATTTTTTCACTGAAATTCCTAATTATTTTTATCTTTTGTACTAAACATACTTATAACTTGTAACCCTGCAAAAATGGTCTTTGACATAACAAAGTCGACCATGTTTTGAACATTGTCAAAAATGATTTGGCCATAATTTGCCAACTCAAAATTGATGACATAGAAATGGTTTCGTTTCAACTAAAACTTACTTTGACTATGTCAGTAACATTGCTATTTCATAATCAAAGCAGTTGTTGATAATCATGTTGACAGTTAACAGCAAAAACACTACCATATCATTGTCCTGAAACTTAAATCATAACCATAAGAGTCCACTTATTCTGGAATATTTTGACACTGTTTTCCCAACTCCAGATATCTTGAATTTTATGTTTGTTCATTTTATCCAAATTTCTGAAGTGGTCCATTTGTATCATATCATATTTGAAAATGATCATTATAAAGCTGTTGTAACACAATCTTAATTAAAAACATGTATAAATAGTTGTCAAAAATTAATGTACAATTTGTTTACTCACAACTCTTTTATTTAAATCTGCATATCAAAACAACATTGTTAAGTACTGAATGGGTTAACATAGACTTTGAAAAATTAATTCTTTCCCTCATACTTATTTATTCTTTACGTATCTGAAATTGTAGGAGAAATTGCTTATTTTGCCACAAAGTTATCAGTTTCATTCAGTTCTTGTTCTTTCATTCATATGGTGCAATTAGGAAAGGCAGACTCATATAATTAATCACACTCAAAATAATTTGGCAGTTCAGTAATATAAAGCTCATTTCCAATTACAATGTACACACATTTTGCAATTATGTGATCTAGATAAACTGCAATTGAATGTTCTGTGTGATGAACTTTTTTGATGTGCAATTCTTTGTGTTGATTATAGATGCTTCCCATTTATTCAAATGACTGTACTAAGACAAATGCCTTTTTACTTTTTACCTACTTTTACAAAAAAATTCATTTGTCCATAATTATGATTCAAAAGCTGCATTGTGCAAGAATTTCACTGTATAAGAATTCCTTTTAGACACTTGTGGTTATAACATTCCCAAAACATAGGTAGAACATGTTCTTTTTGACATGTTCAGCCATTTAAAGAAATATGGTTTGAACATGATTTGACTATGACCATTTCCGCAGGGAAGGCAGTTGACCAGTTAGTCCACTCTGATAGCACCTTTGCTCTATTACTAAACTAGAGCATTATTTGTGAGTTACTTTTGTGTCAAATATGCAAAGGTTAGCCCACATCGTGTTCTTTTGGGACCTTAGTTTATTTAGTCATTAAATTGCAAATTTTAGCCCTAAAATTTCTATTACGTACCCTAAAATTCCTAATTTTAGCCCTAAAATTTCTGAAATATTACTGTAAAATTCGCCCTAATTTTATGTTGGAAGGTGCTGGACAGCCTGCTAATGGTCTCCTTAACTTATACGATAGACATTTTATTGTAGAAACAGCATGTGTAAAAGTAAGAATAATTTACATTTATATAAGCATTGGTAAGTTAAACAATTTAAGTTGAAAACTCCTATTTTTTTGCCTCAAAATGGTCCAAAAACTCCTATATTTCCTGCTAAAATATTCCTATATTCCTCCTTTATTTTGGATAAGACCTGGTTGACAGCCTGATTTCATTAAACATATATATATTTGTAGTTTGAATATTATACATATATAAAATATTATATATTAAGCTTACGTTAATTTGTTAGGTTATCTCTGATAATTGCACAGTTTTGAAAGTGAAGAGGCTCTGTCTGGATTAAGTGCTTAATGCATTTCGACAGGCATGTTCACATAAATATGTAGGGCATGATTAATTTTCAAAATAAATTTCATTTGTCAAGATGTTTTAAAATGCAAGTTATGATCTCAACTGATATTGATGCTGTACATTTTTTGTTTGTTTCAGGAGGTGAGAGTGACAGTTCTTCTAAAGGTGTCATTGGTGTTTGTAGAAACCCACAGGCATTGCTTATAATGGTAAAACACTTTCTTGGTATTCTTTAAACTCTTGATACAATTAAATACTCTATTCAAACAAATTTCTCCGTTATAGCAATGACTATCTCAAGGGCTTGATGTGCTTGTGAAACTTGTGTATGGGTCTTGATGCTAAATCATGGTAAATCCTGCGTTATGGTATACAACCATTTCATACAGATTCCATGATTTTGTGTTTGATCAATTCCATATTTCTGTAAACTTTAATCTTTGCTTGAGGTACTACAGAGTTATGTCCTTAAATTTGAAAGTTATGTTGCTCCTTGCCATTAATGGTTGAGGCACAAGAATTGCAGCCACTTTTTATCCCTACTTGATTATAAATGGGTTTGAATGACTGAAGTCTGCATCTCTTAGGTAGTCTAGCAGGTTTGGTGGTTTTGAAGTAACACCCAATGTTTGCAAAAATCATCTTTCCAGTTTCAGCGCCATATGACTTGTACTGTGTTGGCACGCCATAAAACCAAACAAACATAGTTATGTTTCTTGCAACTTTTGATCTCCAGGCAATTTTGCCTTGTCAAAATTCTAGTGATTATTACTAATTGTTAATACTGATCCAAAGAATGAATCTAAGTTTCAACTTGAAAATGACAGACCTGTACAATTATATAGGGACACTGCACTTGGAAAATCAGTCATTGTTGTTAGTTGTTATCTACATGTTCCACCTATAAATCCAATACCCAATGTATGATATTCTTCAAACTTGGCTTAAACCTCAACAAGGAGATATGTAGAACCCTTGCCATCTTACTTTATAACCATTTAGGGTCACAGACAAATATTCTTATCAAAATTTGCGAAGCCCAAAAATACGTCAACAAAGAAAGGGGCATATGAGTAAATATGGTGTTTATAAGAACTTACATTTAATGTCCAGTGACCATATTCTTTCAATACAAAAAAAAAATACAAATATATTTAGAGGCTTAACAGTGTTATCAAAGCTATATTATAATTTTTCAGGATCCACATTATTATGGACCTACAAAAAGTAAAACATATTTACAGAAAGAAGGATGGGTGAAGTGGAGGTTGTTGGAAGAATTCAAAGAACATTCTTTTTATAATCTGTGTCTACCTCAATTGAAATACACTGATTATGGCTGAAATCCTGGTTTTGTTCATTTTCTCGAAATTCTCAAGAGATAAAATTGGAATTCAACAACAAATGGTATAGATAGCAAGAGTGCTGCAGAGGTGTGGCTTTAAATCTTTAAAGAGCTGAAGTCAAATTCACGAGGGAACAAAATATTTCCATTCATAAAGTTCATCTGAAGTGAATGTGCAGAAAATATTTTGCAATAAAGAACATACAACTCTAATAAAAATAGCAGGCTGTAAATTTGAAATGAAAATTACTAACATTTAATAAAATTTACAATCATACTTAATACATAAATAAACCATTAAAATAAGATATAACATGTTATGTATCATTATGTATATTGTTGTTATGTATTGCTCTTTTACCTATATTTCATATAAAATGCAATTAAAAAGCCTAAATTTTATAGCAAATTTTATTTGTGTATTTTGTTTTATTTTCTAATATAATGTATCACATATATAATATTTCAAGTAAGAAAGTTTTTACAGATATTTAATATTGTAACCTTCATTCCTATAAATTTGTGTTTAAATGGCACTTCTTTATTATTGTCCAGGAATGAATTGTCCCTCTCAGCTTTGTAAATGGTAGACACAAAATGCTGTCACCTGGTAGACAAATATAAAAGTCGTAGAGGAATATCTTTTTCACAACCAAATAGTTAAATAGTGTTTATATAATCTGACACAAGTTCTGTTAGATGTTACAAGGTCTCTAGTACAATATACATTCACAATTAACAACAAACATGTGTAACAATAATTTTTATTTATTTACTTAACAACTATTCACACTAACTGAACATTACAAAACTGTAAAGTTTTCAATAAAACTAAAATTATATCATTCAATCTGAAACTTTGGTGAATGCTCCTCAATGTCACTCTGACAAAACTGAAATTACTACCTCTTGGCCAAGTATGTAGATTTATTTCAGGTCTTTATGATCAGGTCGTAAGTTATACAGAAATTTCCCAATCTCAAAACTCGGGTATTTGATTGGTCAGAAGCTGACACAGAATCTACACTGACCAATGAATATCCTAAGATACAACACTGAGGTCAGAAAATGTCACATGACCTAGACCTGAAACACCAGAGATACCCACACAACAAATATCTAAGGTGTCCGTCAATAAACGAAGGTACTTAGAGTGACTGACTGAAAGACAACTATATGCAAACAAATCAAACACATTCTGGGGAGGTTAAACATTTCAGTTATAAACTACATAAATACATTTATACATGTATATTATTTGATAATGAGAGTCCACTATATGAGCATTCCGTCTTAAAACAACACTTTCCAATCTTTTCACATTAACTCAAACAAACTTATCTTCAGTTGTGTTATGAAAGGAATTTGTTACCGCTTGATTCAAATCTTACCAATGATATTATGAACAAGTTGACTGTGGATAATTAGGACATACCATGCATTCAGTCTTTACTTACTCTCTGCAAAAATGTGTCAAATGTTATGTTTACTAATGTGCTAAAATATTAACTCTATGTGTTAGTTAGGAAGACACCGATAAATTCAAGTAAAAACAGTTAAAAAGTTAAAATTACATACCAATTTATGGAATGGAAACATAAATGATCAATTATCACATATACATGACTTTATTTCTTGTCAATGCTTGTCTCATCGAAATGAATGTCAAAGTTTTTGCTTATAAGCTTTGTCAGGAAACTAAAAATATCTCAACATTTTTAGCAATATATACATTTCATAATTATTATAGAAAAATGTTCTTAACATCTTAGTTAGACTTAGGAAGATAAGACTATCTGGTACAAAATGATACCAGGCAAGTATTGAAATAGCCATTAACTGCAACTAATATATAAAGTTTAGATTTTAAACACATACGTTTTAGATTTTAAACACATACGTTGGCAAAAAAATCTAATATAAAGTTAATGTTGCATTGTTATATAATGGTTCATAAGATACAGTTAGCCATCTGTAACAACAACTACATCTTTTAGCCACATTAACTTCAATATATAGCCTTTTCTTACAGCCATTTTCTTACACTTTCCACAATAATTGTGCACAAATCTGAATACAATGCTTTATCATAATAGTTATTGTTCAGAACAAAAATCATTTTTATACAATTATTTTAATCAAACTTCAGAAAGGCAACATTTACTTCATTAAGTACCATTCATGTCAATAAAACACATATAAGGTTACATTTTCTTCAACAGATAACATTTACTTCAGAAGGCAATATTTACTTCAACATGTTACATTACATTTATTTCAGTAGACATTAAACATATTTCTTTTCTTTTAATAGCTAAAACTTACAAACATAAAGTTACATTTACTTCAGTAAATGACATTTATTTCAATTACACTTTCAAAAGGTAACACACTTTATGACTTTAAAAATTACAAGCACAAGTGATGTATAATAGATACTTGTCATTAAACAAATATTGAATGATATATTAATGCATGTATACATTACTGTAAGACTTTTCAATCCAAGATATTGTCGGGGAACTATTTATCATTTTAATTCTTTTAACAGTATGTTTTTAAGACAAGTAAATAACAATACAAACATTTTAAATGATGTTTGAAACAAAATACATATGTAGAAATACACACTATTTCTGTAATACACTATTGATCTAAATGTCTTTCAAAAGTCAATGTCTCCACTGCCTCACGAGTCCTATATCACTTAGCCAATGAAATGAAATACATAAGGAAAGCTTATCTACATAGAAACTTTTTTTGAAAAAGTCAGACATTCTTCAAAAATTCTTCTGCAACCTCTGTTAAACAAAGCACCATGATTAAAAGAATTTTTTTCTGTACAAAGAAGAACATCCATGTTTTAAACACTGATACATCTTAGATACAGTAAGACTAGTGTTGATATTAAATGGTCATCATACTGTTGCCATGCCAACTAAAGCTATAGAAATGTATATAACATTTTTATGTAGCTGAAATGTTTCTAGGTATCAGTCCTAATTCTTGTAGACATACAGTGGCAGCCTGGGCTTTAGCTAATTTCTTGTTGTTACTGGAAATAGACGGCTGATAGTCGACGCCATTCACTTTTACCTGAAATAACAGAAAAACCTTCATGAAACAAATAGTTTTGAAATTCTTGCTAATCTGTTTTGCCTCTAAGAACAGTTTTGTTGTAAAATAAAATTTGTCTAAAATCCATTCAGTATGATTATGAAAATTTAGTCAAATGTCGTTTGATCTGATACAAATCCAATTGAACTAAACTAAAATGCAGGTAAAATCTAAACTAAAATGTTCAAATTTAACCGAAAAAGATTCTACATACTTTGAAGAGGAAATCTTTTTTATGAGCAGGTCCACTTTCATGTATCATATCATAATGTGGAGGACCCCAACGTTTCTTGTTACAAAGCTCCCCTAGTGCAGACACTGGGTGTTTACCTGACAATAATACAATAATACATTAACACTTAATATGTGCTGAAACAACATTAATTAACTTGCTTTGTAAGTGAGTAACATTGATACTATTGACATATGGTAATACATTGTATACATAGCAATTTTCAAATGTTAACAATAAAAGAATATTAGTGACTCTCATGGTTGCTCCTCTAAGTTGCCTTAATAAAGCCAGAAGCACAGCCAAACAATATGGGAAAGAAGGAAAATCTGTTTTTACAGCCTTTGTCATCTTATAAAATCAACTTGAAACTGTACCCTAAAAAGAAGTTCAGCCATTATATGCTCCACTAAAAACATTTCAGGCTGAAAATGAAATGACAACATTGGGCATGTATGTTTTATCCTATATAAGAAGTAATTACCTGTTGATATTGTAAGACTATACCTTCATGCTTACCTGATAAATCTTTTACCCTAGGAAGTTTTGGTTGACCACCTTTCTTTCCTTCTCCTTCAGTCACCAGACCTGAAACAAATATTAGATGTACAAAATCTTAAAATTACAGTTACAGTTATCAATCAAGTACTATTAGAACTTAACCCAAACTGAATAATCTGGACAAAAAAAAATCATAAATAAAAGAAAACTTGTAATTGATCAAATCTAATTGTACATTTCAAAAATATTGATTATATTCTATATATCAACTCCTTGAATAAATTCAAAATTATCATAATTTATGCTTCATTTATGACCATTTGCTGAAATGATGTCATTTAAAGCGAGCAACTAACATGGGGTTGCAAGTTTTTCTAGCACCTGTGTAAACAATTAAAACAAGAGCAATCAGTGATCATGTGTCGCCTAATGATAGTCAATTAGGCAGTTGTATTGAGGGCTGTTCCCTATATGTCACAGCTACTTTGTAGCATGTTGTACCTACTGTGTAGCATGCAACACAAAAACTATAAACCTTTTTTCATTCAAGGGCCGTTACAAGGCCAAAAATCATTTAATCATAGAACTTGTGTGATATGCACAAATACACTAATGAATCCTGTACTGATCATTCCTATAAAGTTTCAGGTATATGCCTGCTAGTCATAATCAGAATTGATTGTTAAGAAGTATGATGTAGATGATATAGATGTATGGACAAAATTGCATCAGTAGTTTTTGCAAAGTAGTCTGGACAAGTATTGAGACAGAGATGTGATGGAGAAAAAATGCCTATGTTGTTGTTATGTTTGATTTGCAATTATTATACTGTACTGACCTTTCCTGTCAATTTTAAAATCTAACATCAATGGTTCTTTTGTTCCTTCATTATTCTTGCCAAGTCCCTCGCCATGCTTCCATCCCATCTTTTGTAAGAGGAACATTCCTATACCACCAGTCACGGGGGCCGCACTTGTGAACACATCCTGAACAATTATACCATTATATCATGTTATAGTCATTATTCATTGTCTATATACACTAACTTATATTACTATAGACCACTGAAGTACTTATAAACCATATTCACGTTTCTTTTGCCATGGACTGTAATAATCTTTATATCATATAAAAGATAAAGTTTCAGTTACTTTTCATTTTATTTATATTGGCATATAAAATAAATTGTCTTCTATAACATGTTGAGATAGTATTGTTGATAAATACAGGTAAAAAACATTTAGGAGAAACCCATGTTATACAAAGTGTCCTAGAATACTGATCAGGTGATGGGCCATTTTCTTACATGTACAAAATCTAAAAACTTTTCATTTCAATAAATTATATCTACTGACAATGTTAAAAGTTTATCTTCTCATAATTAATTTATAATATATTTTCAATGATACATTTACAAGGTACTGAAACTGAACAATGACCAACAGTAAAACATTAAATATATGAAGTTAGATTAAAAAATAAAAATATATCATGAAGATTTTTTATAAAATACAAGTGTGCAATATGCATATAGATAAACTTATACCAAATTCTCAAGTGTAATTATCCATTTACAATATAATTTGAAATCGGAAATGAGACAAAGTCCTGGTGCAAAAACAGTGTTAGTTTCACATATAAGATATTATCTTATTTACCAAGTTTAAGATAAAGGGAACTGACCATAAACAAGTTTGTTTGGGGTCACATTGGACATGTTCAGTTTCATACCTTTCTCTGTATATTAAGGCTCTTCATAAGAATCTTTTTCACAACTTCTGTTGTAAATTTCTGTTTAAATTGTCTTTGTCTCAAACTTTCTAATCTTCTTTTCTAAATCAAAGACATAAATGAACCAGTAATATCTGGACCATAATTAGCAGAAATTTCCCCATATCATATATCTGCAACACTTTAGACTCATCAGGCCCTATAATGCTGGCTAAATTTTCATCTTGATATCCCAAAATTGATAATAAACATGTTTAAAACGGGAGCTGGACATGTCCTATAATGAAATTCAGCAGTTTAACATATAAAAAAAAAATCATGTCACATCAAAAGTTTTTTTTTAAGATAATGTTTGAAACATTTTCACAAATTAGTTTAAAAATTTCATATTCACAAAATGACTCAGGCTTGATAATAAAACTCTTTGTTTCCCTTTCCAGAATAGTAAAATAAAGTTTCGTGATTTAATATCATGGTGCATATGAAAGTCAAAATGCTGTCACAGGATAGGAATTGAGGGAATTTCTGCTTTCAATGGTTTGTGTACATTCACATACATTGTTTGCTATACTTACCTTTTGTCATGAAAAAGCTCCAGTCACACATATATATAAATATCAGAATGAACAATAACAATAAAATGACTTTGATCTGTTCTCTGGAAATGGTATCAGTGACTGCAAACAATATATTCCTTACATTGAGAGATAGCCAGTGTATCTATGTGTATATTTATATGTTTCCAAAGTGAAAAGGGTCTAACACAGGCATGACTTAATCATGCTTTTATTATTATGAGGTATACAAATATTAATTTCATCTTGATTGGGATGAAAGAGCTAAATGCTAATTTCAATTGAAACTACAGGCATGGTAGCAAGTATTGGAACCATATGGTCATGATGTCAGTAGAGCTCTCAGCCATGATCCCTCTGTCAAGTAGCAGGTATCTGAACCACTAGACTAACCTCTCCACTTGAGTCATTACTGTATGTTGTTATTAAAGTAAATGTATTGAGCAGTCACTAATACTATTTCCACTTACCATGAACCAATTATCGCACAATCTGACAAATTGTCTACCATCGAGACACAAGTTGGTGCCCCTCGCTAGTTACACACGGCCTCGATCATCATGTAGTAATCACACGCTAAACTTAACTGCATTGTGATTTCATTTTTCTCCTGTATATATTTTACCTAAATAATTTTCAAAATGTCAACTTGATTGAAGTGGTATACTATGTATCACATTACATCTACCCCACAAATGTCATCAGCAATAAATACTAAGAAAAGATGCAATTATTTAGAATAATTCTTTCAAACTTACAACAAAAAATCAATTAAAAATATCAAACAAAAAAATCCTACAAAATCCTTTAAATAATTCACAAAATTCCAAGACAGGCAGTGAAATCAGTTTCCCTAAAGCTTCAAACTTTATGCCTTAACTATAAGTGTCAAAGAAATGCATTGTTTTAAACAAAATATAAGATAAAATTCATAGCTAAAATAAAAGTATTTAGATATAATCTATATAATTCACTTCAATTGATGAAATATTTTGCTGAAATGAACATTTGTCAAGTAGATGTAACAAGAACCACTAGTCTATACATGTCCATAAACAGCAAGGAGCTAGATAGCCTTGCGGTTTTCATTTCCTAAAAAGTGTATTCCCTTTTAAAATTTAAAGTTTTCCCCCAAATTTAGTCAATATAAACATTTTAGACTTTGACCAAGATGAAAAATGAGCTCACAGAGCAGATGAAAATATTCAAAACTGTCAAACTTTATTTACTGATCTAATTTCAAAAATTTAAATCAAAAGGAGAGAAATATATTCAGATCAAAAAAATCACAAAGAAGATAAAATCTGACAGTTTTGAAATTTGTTGTCTCATTCTAAAGTTTCTTCACAGAAACATATTAGAATGAATGCTGAAACTACAAGATTAAATAGGGCCACAAAGTTATCATTAGTACAAAAATGAAAATTGCCATTCCTTACAAGAAGTAAAAAATATTTTAAGATAGTTTTAAATCTGATACAGGATCTGAAGTTCTACCTAGCTTAATTTATTTTATAAATTTACTTAACTACATGTTCTTATCTAAAATTAATTAATTCTTATTAGAATACTTAATAAACTTGACAGATTTCAGAAAGTTTCACCGACATATTTGATGGTCTAGCAATAAAATCGGTATATAAAACAACATATCCTTTAATGCTTTATTCTTGTTAAAATCTACTGGTAATATTGTACAAAAACATTTTGAAATAAAATTAACAAAATTGTCTGTGAAAAAATGGAAAAGAAAGAAGTTCTTTTTCTTACTCTTAATAGGGATAAATAATCTACCATAATTAATAGTGATTATTTTGAAATTTACAGAATCAGGCAATTGTCAGTTTTTGTGATAAAATTGTGGCCAATATTTCCGAAAACAGCGTTGGTTTCTGTACATCTCCTGACCTGCAAAAAATGTCAGCTATTACTTCCTTAGTCCTGTCTGCTCTGTATGTAACAAATGTCGGACTTTTATTGTCAGTAAATTATTTTTTTGCTTAAATATCATCCTCAAAAACCATTGTTGTATTTGTATTAAAAAGGCATAGTCAGAGGTTCTTAAATGAATATTCTGATATCTGGCAACAAAATGCTTTAACAAAAATTATACATTAAATAAAATGATAAAAGAATAGTAAATTAGTTTCTAAATTATTATGATTTAACTAGAACTGCCACTATCATGGCGTGAATACCCCCGCATACCACTTTGTCAGAATCAACAGTGGCCATTTAAAGCTAAAGGACAACCTGTGGCCCCTGTGATCTTGACCTTTGACCTGGTGACCTCAAAGTCAATAGGGGTCATCTACTAATCATGACTAACCTCCATGCCAAATATGAAGACTGTAGGTCAAAGGAATCTTAAGTTATTGGGCGGACAAGCTTTTAGAGGTCAAGGTCCCTGTGACCTTGACCTTTGACCTGGTGACCTCAAAATCATTAGGAGTCATCTACTAATCATGACTAACCTCCATGCCAAATATGAAGACTGTGGGTCAAATGAATCTTAAGTTAATGGTCGGACAAGAAAAAACCGACGGACGGCCGGACAGCCGGACGGACAAGCTGATTCCAGTATACCCCCCTTACAACTTTGTTGTGCGGGGGTATAATGATAATAAATAAATAATAAATTAATAATACAAATAATTATTTCATGTGGATGAGTTAGTTATTTTATGACTGACAGGTGATGGTGAATGATGTAACATACTAAATATAGAGATTAATGAAATGAAAATAATCCTGGATATCCAATAATGAATTCCTAAAAATATGACCTGTCTACTGGATGGTCTACTCGACTATTCTCAGTATTTGTCAGAAGAATATATGCATGTCCTTCCTAGATAATGGGCCATTATTGTGATGAAATACAAGCCAACAAGAAACATGGCAATGCCATGAAACCAGGTTTTCAATTATCACCATTGTAGATAAATATGTTGTATTTGAAATACAAATACAAGCAACAACCAATGTAAAACATGAATAATGTAGGAGGAATTGCCACAGAAGAAGTTGTTCACTATATATTCTATATAAGGAAAAAAAACAAAGGGCCATTATTAGGTCAAAAATTATCCAATCACAAAACCCCGACAATATACGCCAGAGCACTTGATGACAAAGCTTCTGTGAAAGTTTGAACAAAATCCATTGAGAAATGTAGAACGAGTTCAGCACAGAAGAATTTGTTCACTATATATTGATAATTCTGTATAAGCAAAAAAAAAAACAAAGGGCCATAATTAGGTCAAATATTATCCAATCACAAAACCCCGACAATATGCGCCAGGGCACTTGCTTACAAAGCTTCTGTGAAAGTTTGGTCAAAATCCGTTGAGAAATGTAGGAGGAGTTCAGCACAGAAGAAATTGTTCACTATATATTCTATATAAGGAAAAGAAACAAAGGGCCATAATTAGGTCAAATATCATCCAATCGCAAAACCCTGACAATATGCCACAGGGCACTTGATGACAAAGCTTCTGTGAAAGTTTGGTCAAAATCCGTTGAGAAATGTAGGAGGAGTTGCGCACAGAAGAAACTGTTCACTATATATTCTATATAAGGAAAAAAAAACAAAGGGCCATAATTAGGTCAAATATTATCCAATAGCAAAACCCCGACAATATGCCCCAGGGCACTTGATGACAAAGCTTTTGTGAAAGTTTGGTCAAAATCTGTTGAAAAATGTAGGAGGAGTTGCGCACAGAAGAAATTTTTCACTATATATTCTATAAAAGGAAAAAAAACAAAGGGCCATAATTAGGTCAATTATTATCCAATCGCAAAACCCCTCCAATATGCGCCAGGGCACTTGATGACAAAGCTTCTGTGAAAGTTTGGTCAAAATCCGTTGAGAAATGTTGAAGGAGTTGCGCACAGAAGAAATTGTTAACGCCCGCCCGCCGACATACCTCAATCTAATAACCAGTTTTTTCCTTCGGAAAACCTGGTTAAAAATATGGACTCTTCTCTAGAATCGTGGATGAAGGTTGTAAGTAAGTATTTCAGGTACAAAGCATCTTCTTGAAGGATATAGTGCAAAAGTTAAGACATAGAAAAAACTTGAAAGAAATGCTAAGCTGAAACATCACACAATGTATGTCAGCATTTACATGTATGTTCTTGGTTACAAGTAGAGGTTTTAGTTTCAGTTTCAAACAACAATCGGTCTAGAGAAATAATGGGGTAGCAAAAAGACTCAACAAAGGTGTGACTAAAAAGTATAAGCCTGTGATCTTAGTTTTACTTCATTTTTGAAAAAGCAAGAATGCAACATTTTATTCTTGTATGTCAATGTTTTTCATCAGTACATTAAGCTATGTGTGATACAAAAAAGCCTATAAACAAAAAAAAGACCGTGATAAAGAAATTGTGTACTAAAAATTTCGTGTATTTATATCATATCAATGTCATGTAATTTTGTTTTGTAATTTTGTAATTGTTTTGTATAAATATCAGCAACAGAGAGCAGACAAGAACTAAACAAGTATTAATTGTATTTGAAACATTATCACTTATTGTTTGTACCTTTTTCAGCCATGCCTGTCGTTTCTTGTTTCCCATTAGCTCGTCCTGTGACATGATGCTAGCACCTGTACTGCCTATAAACTGACCTGGTAAATTCTTTGATGCTGCCCACTGACTGGCCTGTTATAATATAATGTGAGAACAATACATTAATTAGAGGAGCCATAGTGAACCTAAAACTCTCAATTATTATCTCTTGATTTCAGAATGCAAGATCATCCTTAAAATTATGTAAACATATAAAACGGGTACATGTAACTGCAAATTTAGTTATAATTAATTTTCATTACTACACAAGAAATTTATACCAAAAATTATTTTTGCCAACATTTTAGCTTATGATTACACTGCAATATTCAGTTATTGTCAATAGTTGTTCTTATATTGTAAATAGCCAATAAACGCTTTAAGCAAGCAGGTCTGTGAAAGCATTTTTAGTCTGGTCAAAATGCATGAATGTTGGGTGGTAAACTTTCATACATCAAGTTTGATCAATTAGATAAATAGGAAACTTGTTAGAAGATTTTTTATAGTATATAATGTTTTAAATGGGTATAAAAAAACAATCAAGAGTTTCATGTTTACCTGTTTTTGTGCTTTACTGAGTATTATTTTAGCTGTAACATCATTTGGATTATCCTGTAACTTCTTCATGGCTGTCAATCTTTCTGATACAATAGAGCTGATATCCACTGGCTGTAATATTTTATCATATTTAACATCTTATTATATTAAATGTAATACTATGTACATGGCAAATCAAGCTACCTGTAATATGGGGATTCCAATTAAAGACAGGCACCTGTGAACTTCTTTGTTTTTTTATACCAGACAAAAGTTCATTTCTATTTTGGATTGGACTGACTACAGTAAATTTATCAATAATCTGTGCAAAAAGCTAAATAGCTACCTTAGCAACCTTACTAAATGTGGAACAACTTTATTATCCAGAGGAAATTTGATTCAATATTTCCAAATTTACCCACTAGGCAAAGATGTCCAAGAGTAAGAAGGATTAGTTTTTATGATGCTCATCAAGTACAATGGTAGCTCACATATGAGGATATTTGTGATGAATGTTACTACAGCATTGAGGAGAAGTTAAGATGCATGGCAACATAACAAATTAGATTCACTGGATATATAATTCCTAGATTTCTGCATTCATTTAGTCTCTTAAAGGGACTCCCCTAAGGTTATTTGACATGACAGGAATGGAAATAATTTTCAAGACTAATTTTCCATTTGATGAAGGTCTCGAACAATAACTTGCTTGCAAAATTTCTGATCATACACTTACTTCATTTTTCCAACGCCTTTCACACAAATCAGGCTAAGAATAGATTGTCAATTTATTTCTGAGTATATTTTTTTAATTATCTTTTGCATATTGTTATGTTTTAAATGCCCCATCTGATCTATGTCAGAGATTCAATTTTTATGATCTTAGTCATTTAAACCTCAGTAAAGTTTGTTTAACAGATATGGCTATCGTCACTACCAAATAAACATACAAAGTATGCAAACACATAAAGCAAATCACATATGAAATTTTATTTTAAAGTGACTTTTTAAAGTTAATAGAGTTTGGAATACTTATATCTACACACCTGTTCTGGAGGCTCCTCAAACACTTTAATGTCTGGTTTAGCTTTGGGTGGAGCTGGTGGTGGCATCAGGGCTGGTACCCCACCTACTGTGTTAGTTTTTGGCTTTGGTGGAGGAACCGGTTCTGGCTCAACTGGTACCCATTCTTTGTCTCTGTGCTGGGAACCACTAGATACAGGATATGTTATCCTAAGTTGAGAATTCTGGGTAAGTCTTTCTTGTGGAGTAGTAATTGGCAGTGGATTAGCATTCTAATAAAATAATAACAGAATATTCAAATAAACTGACAGCCATCTGTTACTTTCAAAGAAAGTGTGCATAAAAGTGAGTGTAAAATTTGAGTGTAACCCTCAGTCTGTCAGTGAATGGTTTCTTAGGTTAACATTCTTTTATCAGTGAGAGGAAACATTATCAGGCTTCACTGAAATATCCCGTGGCTAACACATTACCAGGATACTCCATGATTGTCCAGTTAAAGCAATATCTACCAAACACAAAATTCACATTCAATACAGTAGCCATGTTATTATTCTCACAAACTATCTTCATTTTCCTGGAAATATTTGTAATGAGGGTTAAACTATGTCATAGCAGCTTGTATGCAGTTATTTATGTCTTTCAATTTCATTTACTATAAAATATCATAGCATAAAATCGGCTACTTTTCCCTCTTTTGCCCATGTTATAACGGGACCAAAACCATGTGTTAACATAGTCACGCGCTCTTGTTATAGCCCAGTTTTACCTATGCGCAATACATACAGGGTCCAGTAAACAAAATAAATTTGAAGGTTTGGCCTGTTTGCCAAAGAGTCATGCGCTCTTGTTATATTGAAATTATTAATTTGAGGGCCTCAGTCGCAGCATTCAAGTAACTATGCCGGAAATACGGCGTATAGACATCGCCGCTAATCTTTGTTGTCGCCCTTTCTGAGAAACGGACAGTTGTCAATGTTAACAATTAAATATATGTCATTCAGTTTAACCCTCCGATTAACTTTTTACAAAACAAGATAACACAAAATGAATATGAGAAAATGTTGTTTAATTGATTTTCATATTGATAAATGCTCTTTATATTTCTTTGAAAGAATAATGTTAAGTGCCTGATTTTTTTTAAAAAACTTGTGTGCTTGAAAAAAAAAAAACAATTCTTTTTTCTACCAATAATCTGAAATCATTCTAGGAATTTCTGAGGGTCATGTTTTGTCTTGGGTAGAGTAAATTAATGTTTTTTCTTGAGTTAATATATCTCCAATGTTAAGCTTTGTTAATAAAATTTAAATTCGAAATTTCGATCGGTTCTGAGCATTTGTATTTCCCAAGTTGTTGGCCCTGAAAAAATAAAACACATACGTAAAACATGTAGAGTTGGATAAATACCATCCAAGCACAAGGATTTAATGTATGTGCTTTGTATTAAATATGCATCATGAATCTGTACTAAAATTTTATGCTATAATAGCGTCAACGCACATTTATTTCATGTTATAAAGTCTGCAGAGTCCCTCAGAACTGTTGGAGCCCTCCGAGCCCGGTAACCGTTCCTCGGGACTCTGCAGACGTTATAACACAGAAAAATGTGCGTTAACCCTATATAATGGTCTGTTAACACTTTGTTTGATTTGTTTAGGACATAAATTTGATCATCTGGCATTACTTTGCTCAATTCCCGCCTTACTTTCACATTCCTGCTTTACAGGTTATACATGATGAACAAAATAGAGGTCATAATTATGGTCACTTTGTAACAAAACTGGTAAAAGTTAACATACATGTTTACGTTCCTCATGGGGGTTTGACATTAATAGAAATTAGATAGATAGTACCTTACTAAACAACATTTTCAGCTTAAACTAGCATTTAAGAAGCCCTTACCTTTACATCAACTACAATAGCACTTGCCCTTACCTTGATATCAACTACTATAGCACTTGCTTCCTTCACCAAGAAAGGATGATGTAACAAATCTTCATCATCAGAATGTTTAGCTGGCTCCTCATCGGACGAACTCTCAAACTCATTCCTTGATTTCTTCTTCAATATTTCTTTCTCCTGTATCTTCTTACAATACTCTGTATGTAGAAATAAACAATCTGTATTGTTTTTGTAAGCTTTTATGTCATATTAAATGTCATATTGTGACTTTTCAGCTTTACCAGCATACATATATCACAGCTAATTTTGTACAGAAGTACAAAAAAATGTTCTTAGCAGAGTAACACCCTTTTAGGACAAATCATTGGCTGTTACAAAGAGATGTTGCTCTAAAGTGATTCATTCATTGTGAAGTCTTACAGCACTAAAAGTGATGTTGAAGTTTTGTACAGAGGTAATTGCTCACTACAGAAGCAACACTACATTGTATATCATTTTAATTGCATGATGTATAATTAATTGTATAAATTTTAAAGTAGATCATTACAACAAATGAGACAGCAGATATACTTTGAATATGTTCAATGTGAAATAAAAAGTATATTAACCTGTTAATTCCTCAACTGACTTCCCTCCAGATTTGATTGCCACATCCAGCTGCGGGCCACCTGATCTTGCATTTGTTACTGCATTTTTTCTGCAACCAATAAAAAGTCATGCATGTTGAGGTTCTTATTACAAAGTTGATACAGTATTTTAAATTCTGACATTATTAACAAAAACAGCTAGGAGTTTCTATGACTTTCAACATTCTATAATATAAAACCTTTCTACTTTAAAGTAAATCTTCATTGTTTAAAAATAAGCTCCCTTCTTAGCATGGTTCAGATAAATACTAGAAATAAATCATCTCATTCATCTAAATAAAATAAAAATGATAAAACAAACATTTTTTTCTTATTCATAACAAAAACTTCTTCTTTTCATATTCTTTAACAAGTAAGCAATAATTAAAGATCAAGAACAAATGAAATCAAACCTAGGACTAATTGACCATTTAACAGTGTCACAGTGAAGATATAATCTGATATCATAACATAGATATAGAACTAACTTACATTGCTATTTCCCTGAGTTTGGCTTTATCTATTCTTAGTCTTAAATCTTCTAATCTTTTCTTCTCTTTCTCGATAAATCTGTCTCGTTCTCTATCTGGAGATCGACTCCGTGATCGGTCATGTTTTCTAACAATATAATAATCAAACTGTTAAACATTTACTTTCACATCCATATAAATTCATTCGCCCTGTAGAAAAACCTCAATTTGCCATTTCAAAAAAATGATCTAATGAAAGAAACTTACTTACAGCATTAGATTAGATAAAAAGATTTATTCTCATATACAATGGGATAACATGGCACATCATAAAACATACAATGACAGATACAAGATGTATGAATTATAAATAGCCATGTCAAACGATATTATAAATCAAGGATAACACAAGAAGAGTTTAAACAAACTCTTATTTTCATTGCAGACCTTAAGATATAGTGGACCTAAGAGATTATTTTAAATCTTTTGCTGAAAAAAACTAAAGATAAATGTGACAAAATGTAATTAAAATTTAGTTGGTGCATGAGTTAGAAGTTTCATTCAGTATCAACAAGATTTTATCCTGCTTGGCCCAATCTTCTTTTAACTATCTTTTAACTATCAGTGCTGCTCCCTGAAGTTTTGATAATTTATTTACATATGTGCTGCTCCCTGAAGTTTTGATAATTTATTTACATATGACTATGAACAAACTGTCATCTCATTAATTTCATCAAATGTTTTGAGCAACCCAATCAAGATGGATAGACAGACACCAAAACAAAATTTCTTTAGCTTTAAACAAAGGAAAGAAATTTACAAACAGTTGTCCACATATTGAGTGTTAATGACTTCATACAAAACTTTTACACATACCCTTTAAGAAATCTGTAGGCATCAAAGTCTCCATACTTGCTTCTCCAAAATCTATCTGGACTTCTACTTTTTGATTTACGACCTCTGGACCTTGACCTTCTACCTCTTGATCTTGATCTTCTACCTTTTGATCTTGACCTTGACCTTCTACTGCTTGATTTTGAACTTCGACGACCTCTGGACCTTGATCTAGATCTTCTTGACCTCCCTCTTGATCTAGAGCGTGATCTTCTTCTTGACCTTTCTCTTGAATGTGACCTTGACCTTCGTGATCTCTTAGGAGACCTTGACCTATTATGAGAGTTTTGTAACAATAACAAAAAAATGATATTACAAATAATCCAAAAAGCATAAAAGCATGCCAACAAAATTTCAAATCATTATATTTTTGACAAGAGATTGACCATTTTCCAAATAAACATTTTTTTGACAATTGTACAAACAATCTTCTAAGAAAGTATTCATGTAATTAAGTTATATTCTCATTGAAATAATATTTATAAAATGTAGTCTTCAAATAAAAAGATTCTTTTTTGGCACACAGGTACCTGTAGGCTATCAAAAGCCCCTTGCCTGACGAGCCCATTATGGTGTCGCTCGAAGTCAGCAACCTCCCATCACTTGACTTTTGAGGCCCCTTATTTTATTTTAAGTTTTGTTTATTTTGTGTAACTGCTCTAAAGATTTTCTGACAAGTTTACTTTACCTTGAACGTGGAGTAATTGAGACTTTTCTTTTTGATGCTGACTTTTCCTTTCCAACAGTTAAGACATCATCCTTATCTTTATGCTTCTTTTTCTTCTTATGTTTTCCTTTTTTCTTTTTCTTCTTCTTCTTTTTTAATTTTGATCCTGATTTTGAATCACCTTCTGAGTCACTGATTGAGCCAGTACCAGAGATCTCGTCATTATCGTTGTCATCATCACTATCAGCATTGCCATCCGAGTCAGAACTGTCACTTCCACCGGAGGAGGAGGATAAAACCTCACCTGAAATACACATATAAATGATAGAACTGCTATACATATATGACATTTGTAACAAAACAATCTAAAATAGGCTTTTGTATTGTATGGGGATGATGACTTGTAGGGCTGGGGCGAGTATCCGAGTACTCGGATAATCACGAATCAAAGTGAAAAAATCGAGTTTGAATATTCGTAAGCCCAGAGATCGTGGATTGCGATTTAATTTTTTTATATACTTTCACTGTTTCTCACACTCTTAAAATCAAGAAAAATACTATTTGAGTATAAATTATATGAAGTTTAACTAAATACAATTTTGCCGGTTAAAGACCATGTACCATGATGCTGAGCTAGGAAGTAATTGGTTTCAAAAAACAAAACAAAAATACTCCTCCAAAGAATAAAAACATAAACCTAGTTTATATGTTTAATGTTTAGTATTGTTTTTTTTTTTAATTTAACATGTTTTTATAACTAATGTACATGTTTTTATGGGTGTCTTGATAACAAAAGATTTGTGGTTCGATTTGTGAATCGTAAGTGCTGAATCGTGGTTCGGATCGGATCGTCACTTATCCGACGATCCACACCCCTAAATTGACTTGTACTTCAAAGACCAAAAGAAATAAAGAAAAACCACCGCTCTTAAATATATATAACAAGCTACCATATGAATTATTTATGGATTATACTTATAAGATTTCACAGGCAAAAGCCATAAAGTCACTGCAAATTATTCTTATTCAACTTAAAATTTACTTTCAAATTGTTAACGTGGTTAAAGTACCTTAAAATAAATTACAAATTACATTTTGTATATGCAAGTAAGTATAATGTATTCAGGCATACCTTCTTCTAATCTCTTCCCTTTCTTGTGAATTTCTCCTGATTGAATAAGTTCAGCACTGGTAGCACTAAGTTTTATACCAAAGTTTTTAAATCCAATTTGTTTCTTAATCTCAACTTTCGGTTCCTCTACATTGTTTTGTTTATCATTGATTGCCATAGATCTTGGCAACACTGGCCCAAACACTGGCAGAGTATTGTCTACCTTCACATTTTGAATATCTTTTTGTTTATCATCTAAAGTAGATTTAGAACTTTCTTTTGTTGGACCTGGCCCTGGAGGTAATGGAATAGCACTTTCTGAGATCAGCTGACTAGATGTTAACAAATTGTTGTCCTTTTGAACTGATATAATATTTTCAGTTACAGGTCTTTTTGTGACATTAGTTACTGTCTCTTTCTTTTTATCAAGTTTTAAAAGACTTCCCAGGGTCGTTGGGTTATTAAACACACTAACTTTACTAGTAGGCAATACAGTTTTATTGGATTTTGCGGAATCTAGTTTTGAAGGTTCAGTAATTGTTTTTTCTTTGTCTGGTGGAACTGTTTGCTTGACTTCAATGTCTTTAGACACACATGGCAGGGAAATGTTGCTAATTTCGTCATCAAGAAATTTATTCATTTCATCCATAGAACTGACTTTTACATCTGTCTCTTTCTTAGACTTACTTTTCTTTTCACTACTTTTAGTATTGTCACTTTCAATTTGTTTCAATTTTGATGCAATAAAATCTTTGAAAAGATCATCAACAATTTTATCATCACCTTTTGCAGCCTCTCTTTGTTTTTTAAACATATTAAACTTTTCTATTGCTGTAAGTTCTGACTCAACAGAGCTCTTCTTGTCCTTTTTCCTATCTTTGCTTTTTTCTCTATCTTTGTCTTTATGCTTATCTTTCTTTTTTGATTTTTTATGTTTCTTCTTGGAATGTTCATCTTTATCATTATTGGCATCATTATGCTTGCTTGATTTCCTTTTTGAAGAACTTGAGTGACTGTGAGTACTGGATTTATCCTCCATTGATGCTTGCAGCCCTGCTGAAGGCAAAGGAATATTATCTAGCACTGGTATGGTGGTGCTCATTTTATCACAGATTGTCTTTCAAGCTGAAATATTTACTTGCATCCTCATAATGCAAGATCCAAACCTATATTTGAAATAAAAAAAGAAACTAAAATTTATATAAGAGATTATAATTCATTGTTTCAATAGACTTAAATTTAATATGAAAAACAATTTGATGTGGGAACTTCCTTCAGATATCTGAGAATACTTTTTGTTCAATTTTCAAATCAACATAAACAAATCAGTCATTCTTATCCGAGATCCCAACCACAGGTACACAATCATGGATCTTTACTGAGAGAAGATCTATCATATTGATCTGGTCTTTTCATTCTATGCCATGTTCAAGCAGTCATTGCCAAGCCCAAACTATCTAGTTTCCTTTTCTACCAAAGCTTAGAAAGTATGTAGAAAAGTAACATGAACATCCCTGCTTCTGATATTTGCAAAGTAACCCCCCCCCACCACCAAAGATTTAATGGACTCTGACAATGAGATCAGCAAATCTCTTCCCTTGCAATGATAATCTGATGGTAAAATCCATGTCATAATATCAAATGTCCCCACTCTTGTAATATTGCCACCTTGCTCGACTTTTAGCTCCTGTAATATTGCCACCTTGACTTTTAGCTCCCATAATATTGCCACCTTGACTTTTCGCTCCTGTAATATTGCCACCTTGACTTTTAGCTCCCATGAAAATTCAAACTAACACATTTCATTTTAAAAATAAGAATGAAATGTCTTGATTCTGAAGACTTTTCACTCTCTAATTTCATTCCAACCACAGTAGTGATTCATCAAGGTTAAGTTTAAACTCTTTTAGGGTATCTTTTCTGAGTTCACAAAGAGCCATAGATCAGTGAAAATCCTTTGCAAAAATTAGGGGCCTTCCAGATGGACAGCCAAAGACAAAGAGATGAATGAAATTACAATCTTTACTGGTTAATGAGATATAAAGTTGAAAATAAGCTGCATGCAAAACTTTTTAGTTTTACCAGTTTTAGCTGGCACTAACACAACCCATTTGGAGTAATTAGTTACTGTAGTATTTCAGAGCCAACATGCAATAAATATGTTATGGAACAGGCATGTAAATCTTCTTCTTCTTCCAATACTGTACATAACCCACTCTGGGGCATTGACGTACAGGGTGTATGTACAAAGTGTTGTGCGGCGAATAAGTGCAGATTTAAAAGAAGAACATGTTAAAAATAAAATCGACTCCGGCATATTAGGGCCCCATGACTAGTCCTCCCTTGAAGGCCTCAAGGTTGACTGCTGTGGCTAGGTGCTCTGGAAGCTGGTTCCACAGGCGGATGGCCGAAGGTACAAAGGAGAACTTCATGGTGTCTGTTCTGCAGAATGGGACATGGAATCTGTGTCCGTAGCCATGGCTACCAAGTGTCAGGGGGTTGAAGTACTGTGCAGCTGGGATGGCTATGAGGTTGTACGTGATCCTGTAGACCATCACTAGCTTGGCATTGGAGCGGCGATGCTGTAGAGTTGGCCAGCGTAGGTCTGTCATCATTGCAGTGGTGCTGCTGGTATTTTGTAATCGCCTTTTACAAATTGGGCAGCTCGCCTTTGGACAGCTTCCAGCTGGTTGATGTTGGTGGCTGTGTGTGGGTCCAAGACTGTGCCTGCATACTCCAGGATTGGTCTAACAAGGGTCTTGTAGGCCTGGGCCTTGATGTCTTGTGGGCAGCTTGTGATGTTTCTTCTAAGGAATGATAGAGAGTTGTTGGCCTTCTTGATGGTAGATTCTGTGTGTATGTTCCATGAAAGATTATTTGCGATGTTGACACCAAGGTACTTTCCACTTTTGACAGATTGAAGAGTTGATTGGTGGACCTTGTAGGCATAAATGATGGGGCTTCTTTTCTTGGTGATGTGTATTACTTCGCATTTGCTGGGATTGAAAGACATCATCCACTTGCGTTCCCATTCCTGGAGTCTATCTAGGTCTTCTTGGAGGGCTAATGCGTCAGCTTCTGATTTGATTTTCCTGTAGATCAGGCTGTCGTCAGCAAATAGGCGGCTGATGGAAGTCACGCACCTTGGTAGGTCGTTGATTTAAAGGAGGAACAGTAAAGGACCTAGTACTGTCCCCTGGGGTACACCGGATGTAACTGGGGAGGATGCAGATGTATGGCCTTCAACGACAACTTGTTGGCTGCGGCCAGACAGGAAGCTCTCAATCCAGCTTCTGACTGTCCCTCTGATGCCGTAATGATCCACCTTGGAGAGGAGTCGTTGGTGAGGCACAACATTGAACGCCTTACTGAAGTCTAATAGTATGGCATCTACTTGTTCCCCTTGATCCAGGGCTGATGACAGGTCTTGAAGAGTGAGAAGAAGCTGACTTTTAGTTGAGCGTTGTTTTCTAAATCCATGTTGTTGATCTGAAAGGATGTTGTGATGGTCAAGGTGTTTCATAATTTGGCTATGTAGGATGTGTTCTAGGAGTTTGCTGCATACTGATGTGAGAGAAATGGGTCTGTAGTTGGCAGGGTTGCTACGGTCACCTTTTTTGAAGATAGGTGATACATTTGCCTTCTTCCAGGCTGAAGGTACTGTTCCTTGTTGCAAAGAGGCGTTGAACAAGAGGGTGAGAGCCGGAGTAATGTCTTCGGCATAGTCCTTCAGGAATTGTGTAGGTATATTGTCAGGACCAGAGGCCTTATGGGGGTTGAGGCTGAGGAGAAGTTTCTTAACGCCCTCAGCTCCTACTGTGAAGTGAGGCATGTCTGGGTATCTTTCTCCGTCCATGGCTGGCACATCTGTTGTGTCTTCTGTAGTGAACACCCCAGTGAACTGTTTGTTCAATATTGTAGCCTTCTTACTTGGATCGCTGTGAGTCACACCATCACATTTTAGTGGAGAGATTCCCGTGCTGTCAGACCGCTTCCCTTTGATGAAAGTGTAGAGCTTCTTAGGGTTTTCTGTAACCATGTCTCTTACATAGGCTTGGTTTGCCTTCCGACATTCATAATGTTGCTCCTTTTGAAGGTCTTTGTACCGCTTGATATCGTCTGCTGTCCCTGAGTACTGGGCTTTGTTGAATGCTCTCTTCTTTTTTCTAGAAAGGCGCATGATCTTTGCTGTGATCCAAGGTTGGTTGTGCCTAGTTGTTGACATCTTGGATGGGACCGTGGTTTCTATGATCTGTGAGATAGCAGATGTGAAGTCGGTCCACATGTTGTCAATAGCAGAGGTGGCAGAGTGGTCCTGTATGAAGCTGTTTGTGAAATCTTGTACAGCAGAGCGTATGATGGTCTGGTCAGCCCTTTTCCACAAAAGTATCTTCCTCTGTGGTGCTTTTGTTCGTGCTGCTATAGTCCTGGCCTGCACAAGGATCATGTCATGGTCACTGAGTCCTGGGAGTGCATTACTGCGTTCGATAAGTGAAGGTCTATTTGTTATGAAGAGGTCCAGGGTGTTATTGCCTCTGGTTGTAAAATCCACAATCTGTTCAGATGAAATGTCATACATAGTGTCAAGCATGATGTATCAATTTATCAATGAATCTGATGAATCAGTTGATTTGTCATCCGATGTCGCTATATTGTTGCTTTGCCAGCTCTACCCCAAACTTCTCCCCAAAAATTGAAATATGCTGACAGTTTTCGCACCAAAATATTTTTTAGCATATATTTATTTTTCATTTTATTTACAAAGGAGCACCCCACCCACATTTTTTATACAATAAGAAAAATCTCAATCTAATGCAAACATAAATCTTTTGTTTGACTTTTCAAATATTGACAATACATATCAAATGTAAACTGACAATTTGAAATAAATCTTCTCGCATACAAGGAGGTTCTCTTCCTTTGTCTTAGGCCTAAGTTTTCAATAGAGATTTTTATTTTTTTAATCCAGTAACTTACCGGTGAACGTGTTCACTTCTCTCGACAAATTAGGGGCCTGTCTAAAACGCGGACGCCTTAAGCGGACAATATAAACATATAGGGAAAACGCTGACAATATAGACAAAGAGGAAAAAAGCGGACGATATAGATATATAGTGTAGACTAATTGGTGATGATTTTAGGCATTGATGAAGTTTATAAAAATGATGTGTAATTGGATTTATACTTTAATATATAAAAAATATAATAAATTAGCAAATTTGGAGAAATATTAAAGTAATTTATGATTGAATGTCAATGAATTTTATATTATATTTATATGACACATTTTCGGAATTTCTAAATATTGAAAACTAATATATGAAACAAATGGATCAAATGAATGTCTTTAGAATTATAATGATGGTACTAAATTGGCAACAGCTGATATGTAATTAAGGATATGTATTTCATTTTGGCATTGTTTTTGTCTGTCTTTGTGTGCAGTAGGCGGACAAAATTTTTGTTCGCAAAATAAAAAAAAGCCTTGATTTTTCAAAATCAAAAGTTTGTAAGAGTAATTTTTAATCATAAATTATTGATATAAATAAGTAATGACAGGCTGTTTTTTTTTTTTTTTTTTTTTTTTTTTGATACAATATAAGCAGAAGCGTGCTGCAAATTAACCGTAATTAACGGTAATTATATAAGTGTGAACAACACGCTACTGATTAATCGTGTCGGCACTTAGCTAGAGATAACATGATACGCATTTTGCGGACAATATAGAACAGAACAGAACATATCTTTATTAACTCAAGTTACATACAATACAACACATGAGTATACATAACAGTAGTGAATATTTGTTAATTTAACACATGACATGGTTTTATTCAATAAATTTCTACACAGTTCAAAAATAATTTAAGATATTTGTAAGAGGAAAATTAATTATTATCATTATCATGGGAGAATGAGAGATGGAAAAAGAAAAGAAAAACAGCAAACAAACAGCTACCGCCTGAATGGGGGTAGATACACACGCGCAAAAAAAGTATTCGTGTCTCGATGCCAGTTTGAAACGGACTATAGAAATGCGAAGGTGGTAAATAATACGTCATTGTTTACATACGGGCACTGTTGCGAGGTCCCGTTAAAAAAGTTTGTGCACAAATTAGGTCAATCAATACACAAAATGGAAGTTATTATTTAGGAAATAGATATCAATTCTGAGTGCATTGTTGTAGAATAATGCACGGTTTGAGTTCAAATGCGTAGTAATATAATCACGAAGGCCGATAGGCCTGAGTGATTAATTACAAAGCATTTGAACGAAAAACGTGCATTATTATACAATAATGCACGAAGAATTAATATCTATTTCCATTCTAACACGTCAAGAAAAAATATAATTATTATTATAAAGTTGGACTTTATGTTTGGCGGTTAAATTTGTTTTCGCCTCAGAGTTTCCAATAGAAACGTTCTTTAAAGGCCGTTCCAGTGGGTTGAAAAAAACTGTCGTTAAATCTATCGTGTGTAGAAACATTTTGAGAATAACGAATTTTGAAAACGTTGATAAAACTTTGTTTGTTTATTTTATTTCACTCTATAATTTTCCAAGCGAAATACAAATTATTAAAAGTGAAATAAATGTAAAACTTAACTCGTCTGCGACGTTAAAATAGCGTACTTGATTTTGATTGTTTTGCACGTGCTGTTTGGCGCAACATTGTGACGTCACGTAAACAACACTTTAAACGTCTGTACAGCGTTAACGTCTGAATTAAAGATGTTGGTGTTCGGATTTATTTTCTTAGTTAGACCATTTTCTATCATTCTAGATAGTTTTTCACAACAAAATTCGACAAAAAATTGTTTTTATTTATCAGATTTTTCAAACAAAATGGCGCCCTCAATGTGAAAATACACAGGGAGATAATAAGAACGGCGAGTGCATTGTTGCAGAATAATGCACGCTTCGGGCCTTCTTTGTTTATATAGAAAAATTTCCGATAGTGTTAGAATGAATGATAGTGTACAGTTAAAATTCTACTGTACATAGTATTGAAAGTTCAATAATAATTAAATTAACGATGGATGTTGAGGGTGAACAAAAATATATTGTTATTCAATGGGATTTTAATCGAAGCAGGAATGGATTTACTTAGCACGTGGTTTAAGGTGAGAAAGTTCATTTTCTGAGTAGGCCTACATTTTGCAAAGAAAGCAGTAGTTCAAATCTTGGCTTGATTGCATGTATTCCAATGATAAAACGACTTAGGAAAACAAAAACAAACAAAAACAAATAAGAAATTAGACATTGGCATACTGTACATATACATAAATATTAAAATGTATACAGATTGTGAACAGAACTGGTGTGCATGCATTATATATCTGTACATTGGACTCTTCTATCATGTTTATATATTTAATAAATGCTCAAACATGGATGAAGCACAAATTTGAAAGATTCTAACAAAAAGGAAATTTGTTATATCTACTTATTTTACCATTTATTTATTTATTCTGTACCTTACAGGAATGTACTCAGTATCTAAGTTATTTTTTATTTATTTATCTATTTTACCTTTTTTAAATCTACTTATTTATTTGTTTATATATTTGTTATTTTTAAATGTAATATTAATTTACTTAATTTCATTTAAAAGTATTCTTAAAAATTTACATGTTCTTTGCAGCATATTTATGGAGGTATTTGTCAATAATTCTTTGAATTTTAGCATGTTTGGTCTTCTATAGTAATACTGTTTGATTAAGTTTTTCCTGTTTTGCTCAAAGAACGGGCATTTTAACAAATAATGATATTCATCGCCTATGTCATTTAGGTCACAGTGCAAGCACTTTCTGTCTGGTAAATCTATTCCATTCCATCTTCCAGTTTCTATAGGGAAATGATGGTTGCCTGTCCTAAATTTTATTAAGGTAATGAAGTCTTGTTTGTTTAAGTTTAAGAAGGTGGTTGTCCAAATTTATATTGCTTTTAATTAGTGAATAGTTCCTACCTTTGCTAGAGTTATTTAGAGATGCATGCCAATTTTGGATGTTTTGGTCTAGAAGAGTTTGTTTTATGATAGTTTTGATATTTTTAGATTCAATCTGGTTTTGATGTATCCAAAAGTCATTACGTCCTGATTCAACTAAAATTGATTTTATCTTATTTAGCCATTTTGAATTTAAATTTAAGTTGTGAGTATACTGATATAATCTGTATGCAATTGTATCACAAATTACGCGGATGAATATGATTTTATCAATGAAAATACTATTTTTAGCCATGTAGATTACCGAATACTACACAAACCGAGTAGTGGAATATATAGATTCTACATGTCGGACTGTTTGGGCGAGAGGATTTTCGCTAAAATATTTACTTCAATTTTAAACAACAGGTTTACCCTGAACAAAATACCTCGAAATTAATAAGGATTACAAACCTGAATGCAATGGAAGTTCTAAATTTAGAATGACTTGATATTATTCAAAAAAAAAAAAAAAAAAAAAATTGCAAAGATCAGAAAATACCAAAGAACTTGAAGCCCTTTGATTCTTTATAAATATACATGCTTATAGTAAGCTTCAGGATTATTTACATCTGTGTTAAACAACAGTTAAAAGTCGTTACAAGCCCTAATTTAGAATAATATGGTTTTCTTCAGGCCGTTCACATATAAATTTAACCGTGGCTGAAGGGTTTTCGGGCTCGCTTAGGAAGCGAGAGGTCTGGAGTTCAAATCCCAGTAAAGGTAACTCATTTTTTTAAATTGTTAAAGTCAAATAAACATTGGATTGAATATCAGTGTTGCAATTAGTCTTATAGCCAATTTACTACAATTAAAACGCTGGAAAGCATTGGTGGCACTAAACATATAATCTCACAACCTGCACCTTTCTTACATTCTGAGACCCAAACAAATTCAGCGCCTTCTGTGCTTTGATTTTTAATATTTACTCTGTTAAGATATTTCCAATAATCCTTTGGGTTTTTACTTTGCATTTTTCTTAGTTTTGATTCATTATCTTTATTGTGCTTGGTCAAATATTTATTCATAATTCTTTTATAGTTTTTACACTTAGCTTTTAATAAAGTTTGGTTTTCACCAGTAGGATATTTGTTATACCTTTTTCTAGCTTTATTATATTGTTTTCTAGCTTTTTTGCAGTCAGTACCAAACCAGGGCTTATTTTTTTTAGTATTTATATTTACATTGCTTTTATACTTTTTATTTTGTGGAAATGTCACTTGCGCACTTGTTATAAAAATATTATTTAGTAGTTCAGTTATATTATTTATTTGTATTTGGTTAACAGGTTGTGTTTTACACTCCTCAATATTGGTCAACAAAGTATTTATTACCTCATCTGGTATGTTAGTGACAAATTCATCGGCTTTTGTACTGTCCCATTTTGGCATTTGGTTTAAATTTCTATGACAGTTTTCAATTTTGTGCTTCATGTTATAATATAGATATATAGGGAAAACGCTGACGATATAGATATAGAGGAAAAAAGCGGACGATATAGAAATTTAGAGTAGACTTATTGATGATGAGGTGGGAATCGATGAACTTTATAGAAATGCTGTATAATAGAATAATATATTCATATACGTAAAACTTAATGGCAAATAAGATAATATTTTTTTTTTCAAATTACGAATGATACTAAATTGACCACATTAAAAAAAATAAGGATAAAAGCTTTCATTCACATTTGTACAATGATTTTTGAACAAAAACACGCTTATTTATAAATTCATGTTTTTAAGGTAATTTTAAAGTTTAATGGTCGTTGATAAAAAGAAAAAGGCATGCACGTATACTGTTGTGACGGACACGTGTTGCAAATTAACGACAATTAAAATATAAATAAAACTAAAACATATTATGAATTAAAGTAAGTTAATTGATATAAATTAATTATATACATGGTAGAAGCCAGATATTTTGTTATTCATAACAGTTTTCTATTCTCCCGTTCTATACATTTATTTCGTCAGCGTTTTCCTTC